ATAGTATAGAGCTCCAATAAATCTTTGCAGTTGATTTTTTTCGAGAGTCATATATTGATCATTAAATTCAATACTTCTATTAATAGGAATAATAGAGGTACTTGATACGTTGTGTCCTAAAAATCTTATTTCAGGCTGAAATAATTTAATCGTTGGGTAGAAATGACTAATCCATCTTGTTAGATTATCCATTTAGAAGTTTTTAAATGTTTAAAGTGTTCATCAAGTGTTTTGGAGAACACTCATCAATATAAACAATGATGTATTTAAAGTGATCTTTGAATATAACATTCATAATATGTTAAAATTTAGAAGGATCATTTTTTAGTCTAAATTGCATGGCATTTCATTTGAAATGTCCAAAGGGTAAAGTAAATGTTGTTTTATAGCTATATTTTTCTTTGATTTGAATCTGTCAATAACCAAATTATAGATCAAATTTTGAGAAGATTTAAGCTTTATATAAGCACTTAACCAATTCCCTTTTATTAGAGATAGGATTTCTAATCCATTTAAGGACTTTGTTAAGTAGTTTATGATTAATTAAAAGCCTAGCTTTTTCTCTTTCTTTTTCCACTCCATTCATACAACATAGAATGCAGTGTATGACCAGGGCGAATAAGAGTATTTTACTAACCCTTTTGACAATAAGTCAAAGATTTTTTGCTTTGCATAATGAAAGATAGGAATAATTCATCTAATAGAGTATTGCTTTTCTTGGTACATCCATCTCATTAAACTCTTCAATATACGACAGAGCAACACTACGGATTTTTCTATTCCAAAAAGCAATAGAATTTTCTCTAAAAATATTCTTTTGAAAATCTTCTAATGGATTAGAGATCTTCAACTGAATATTTTGAGATTTCAATTGAGTTTTGAGAGTTTTCTCAAAAACTTCTTCTTTTAAATAATTAATATGTTGGGATTTATTTTTAATTTGATTCATTTCATTAATAATTACTTCTTGAGGATCAGTAATGAAGTGAAATGTAATATTTTTAGCACAAATAGTGCTACTAATGTCATTTTGATCAATTTTTTTAATAGAAATTATTTGTTAAAAAAAAGGAGTACCCAATATAATGTATTGGGTTAAATTTTTAAAAAGTAAAAATGGAGTGATAATACAAATATCTTATTTACGGATAGCTGCAATAGAAAGTTTATATTTAATATGCATTCAATCACCAGTAGCAGAGGTTAATCGTTGATTTGTTTTTTCAAAATATTTAGAAGGAATGAGCCCTTCTTGAATATAATTCATGTCAACACAACTATTAATAAGTGTTTTTAAATATGGTTAAATGTATTCTCTATTAATTATTAATTTAATAGAGATACATCATTTATGTATAATAGCCTTTTGAATAGACTAAAGAAATTGTTCAGAATGAATGTTTTCTTCATTCGTATCTTGTTAATATTTTTTTGTTTCAATAGCAATCATTCACTCATTAATTTTTTTCTTGATCACTTTTATTGATTTTAATCTCTTTTTTTAACTAATAGAATTCAGCTTTAAAATCATTAATATTAAATTATTTTTCTTTTTTATTAATTTTGTTATACACTTCTTTTAAAGAGTATATAAGAAAATTCTTTCTTAGATCTTCACTATTCTTGCCTTTTTTTTTTTTGAAAAAGTTTGAGAACTTTATTTCTAGTAGAAATATCTTTAATTTTTGGAAGAATTTTTATGATCTCTTCCTTCTATTGATCTGTTAGGGTGAATAATCCCAACATTTCGACAATATTTTTATAATAATTAAAATTGTTGCAACCATAGATTATGCATAGATTACTTCCTTCTATTGATTTTCATCTTCGAATGAGGAAGACGATGATGCATAGATTACTTCCTCAGATGAAGTAGATTCTAAGTCAGTTAATCAGAGCTTCAAAAGAGTTTGACAAAGTGGTTCGGCAATTTTAAGCTCATTAATTTTTTTCATAGTAGTGCAACAATTAGAATAGTGACCTAATCGTCCAGACTTGAAGTACTTAGTTTCTTTCTTCTTCTTTGGGGGTTTAGAAGTAGAAGAATTTGTAGGTTTTATGGAATTTTATTTTCCCATTTCTTTTTTTTTTTTTGAAATAATCTTCTTTTTCTTTTGAGAGGGTGCAATTGTAGGAATATTGCGAGCAAATTCATCACATAATTCCCCTAATTATTTTCTCTTAGAGAGTCTTTCTCCTTTGAGCTAATTATTAAGTTTAATATCCGCACAGAGCTCGAAACCGATTTTAACACAAGTGTTTATGAGATTGTCATATGTAAAAAGATCATAGGGAATATCACCTGTTTGAGGGTTTTTAAAATTTCTTTTTACCTTCTCTGCAAACAGATTAGGTAATCCTTTGATAATTTTTTTGTTTCCTATGAACCGAATTGGCATCGGATAACATCATAGCTATAGCTAAGAAGGTATCTTTATACCATCTAAAGTGAGTGGGTGAGAGACACTTAATTTTTTGAGAAAGAATCTAGTTATTTCTCCTTGATCGGATACATTTCTTGTAAAATATTCAAAAGTTGCAGTCGTTAAAGTGAAAACTACTTCTTCATTTAGTTTTTAAGGATCTTCTAAGTTTTTTTGTCTTAGAATATTCTCCTTTTGATTTTCAGTCAAAAAGCTATCCCATCATCCTTTGAGTATGCATGTAAATCCATTGGCAATCATTCTAGCTATCAGGGGTGAGGCATATCTCCTGGCTTGCGTCATAGTAGCGTAGACCATCATTTGGTTAATTTCTCAACGAATTTGATGATCACTAAAACCATCTATGTTCCATGCACATAGACCAATGGCATCATATGTTCTTTGATGTCAAGTGGAAGTTTCACCAAAATTATCGTCCATAGGAGGAGGACGACTACAATAATGTTTTTCAAGTGGATTTTTTTGGGTAATTAATTTTATTAATTTCCAAAAAATCATTAGTTTGAAGGTTTTTGAAAAACTTCAGCTAAAACATCAGATAATTCATCATCAGTGGATGAATTTTCTGTTTTTTCTTCTATAGTTGTTAGAGATTTTTCGTTACAGTTAGAAATTTAATTCTCTAAATCTTTATTTCTTGATCCTAAATTTACGTCAAGTTTAGGTGAAGGATGAATGTCAGGATGCTTGATTATGGAGAGAGTTGATTTTCCCTTTTCTAATGTTATTCCTTTGTCAGAAACTGGTCTTTTAGGCTCCTCTGATTTTTTCAAAAGTTGATCTAATTTATTTTCAATTTGAAACAAATATTCAACAATTGTGTGTAGAGTATTGTTAGTAAAGTATAATTATTGTACTACTGTAATAAATTCTTTAATTGTTTGTGCATTAGTATTGATTCTTTCGAAAGTTGTAAGCTCATAATTTCCAAATTTATCATTGCTAATGCTAACTTTCAAAGGAGGATAAGGTGACTCAAGTATCTTTTCTCGTTCATTTTGCCTTTTTTTTACTAATTATAGAAAGTTGAGATAGATTAGTAGTGTTGAGTAAACCAAGGGAAGAATGGAATTATTCCTTTCCCATGCTTATTTCTTCTAATCATGTCATCGAAATATATTTCACATATCGAGATGAAATTCTTCAGTGGTGTTCTTTCTATACCACTGCTTAAACTTTTCTTAGCGAGGGTGATGATATTATCAAACGAGAATAGCTCGTACATTACTACTTGGAGTGTAATTCATTAAAAATTAATACTCATTTCGGAAGGGCGTGGGAGTAGGAGAACGATTTTCTCTCAATGGATGAAAATTTTGATTTCTATTTAGTTGGAGAGCTTCGATTGGTGCTTCTTCATGGGTTGAAGATTAACCAACAGCAGATTTAGATGGGATCGATTTTAGGGATAGTTGTCGATCTCCTAAGATTAAACCTTTTATATCTCCATCAGATGTTTGAAATATCTGATAAATGTATTGATTTATAGTTAGTTTTGGAGTCAAGGTTGATTGAATAGCACGTGACTTGAGGAATATTACCTCGTTCTATCTAATAGTTCTATTAGTGGCAATGTGAGAGGCCAAAAGGTTGGTTTCAAATAAGGTAGTTTTTTCAATGGGTTGAACCGTCTTCTTAACATTAGGGTTTAAAGTATTTAAATTTCGAAGGTGAATTCTAAACACCAAAGCTATGATTTATGATCCTGTAAAGAAATCATAACCCTATAGTTGAAGTTGAAGTTTGACCGCTTCAAATAAGTTAACATCCTTCAGGAATAAACTTAAATTAGGAAAAGTGTTAAAATAGATTGGCCTGTGGCACAGACTAGTTTCTATAACTCCCATGAGAGATTGAGCCCGATTAAGGCATCGACAATCCTTCAAGCAAACAAGTATTAATGCATTTAAACCTTCTAAGGTGAGAGGTTTGAATTTGCAATTTGAATGAGACCAATATGAATATATTTGAATACTCTCATATATCTCTATGGGTCTTCTTCCATTAATAGATAGATTGTTTTATCAATCTGATCAATTGTGTTCTATTGTTCTACAATTTTAATAGAAATCTATACTTTGATCAAGGCTCATATTCTGTAAATAAGGGATTTATCCATTTTAGGAATAGATCATCTATTAAGATCTTCCTCATTAAGATGGTCTGTCATTTCGACATTCTTAATGAATTGACTATGCCTCAGGAGAAGACTCTCATCAAAATTGAAGTAACTGAAATAATTAAAATTTGTGATAAATAATTATAAACTATTTATTAAATTAAAAATGAAATAAGCATTTAAGTTTGGTGGTGAAATTTTTAGTGTCATATATAATGGTAAAGAGTTTACCAAAATCTGGGGCAATTGCTACCAAATCTCTCTTAATTTTATAATGATTTTAAGTATTTTTAAAAACAAGTTAATTTATTTATAATAAGAATAAAAACATACAAAAACAGACACTAAATATATATATTTTTAAATAAAAAACAAAAAAAATAAAAAAATAAAAGTAATCCCAAATAAGCACTAGACATTTTTAATTTGAATAACTGAAATTCAGAGAACCTCAAGCTGGTTCCACCCACTTTCACCAAAAAGAATAATCAGTTACACAATCCTAATCACTAGCGCTAAATTAGCTTGCATCCAAACAACAAAACAATGGCATTCTAACAATCAGCACAATCCTAGCAGTTTTCATATTAAGAAATCACTTGCTTATTAATCTTGATGGACATTAAACAAAACAATGGAGTAACTTTACCATGAATTCGCCATGATTTTTTCTCATGTCTGCTCCAGAACAAGAGTTGCATATATCAACTCATTCCATGTATCAGGAACTCCAGGGAGGCACCAATGGCTGCAGTCCTGTCTTCTCTTAGAGACTCTTTCTCCTTCCATCATCCTCTTGCCATAAATAGAAGGATGAGCATCTTTGCGGAAGTTGGTTAGCTTAGTCACATTCAAGAGAATTATGGGAAAATTCATTTTTTCAATTACACCCTCAACAATCTTCATTTTCAAAGGATAGTTGTCAATGATAGATCCACTAAAGGCAGGGGATTTCTCTCCATGACACGTACCGCCGGAATCCCAATCGCCACCCCTAGTTAAGAAAATTTTCATTAATTGAACTTTTATGAAAATATCAAACTATGAAGGCATGGAGATAGTGTAACCTGAAATGAGCTGTAGAGTATCCACGGTAAAAAATCAATTTTTTTGAAGGATTCATGTTACTGTCTATCCACCTTCCCCAAGTTTGCAAGGACTTCTTAAAAGCTTCTGTTGCATCAAATTGTGGATAGACAACATCTCCTTCCTTATAATAGTCCTTCCTGAGCAAAAAAAGGCAAGTGATTTTAGATTTAGTATTATTATAAACATGTCCGAGAAGGATCATCGGAACAAAAGCAAAATTAAGAGGAAGAATTTACCCCCTTGATGTTTTTCCATGGGTCCACCAGTGGCCGGTGTTGAAAACCAATATATCAGCCCTCTTCCAACGAGGGGCGGACTTGCAAATGCGATCTATCATGAGAATTGGACTGGTATTACCCTTTTGGTTGGCACGCTTTCCCTCTCTAACAAGAAAGTGGGACCGAACAAAGCTTATTGTACAGTTATAATCCTGGGAAAATTAATAAAGTTATCAGAATGAGAAATGTGTCAAAATAATCCTCCAGACTTTTTGCAGGGGTCAATGAGAGAAGTGCCAAAATGTTCTTGGATTCTTTGCAAGTGGATCATTTTAGAGCCCGAGTTACAAAAGTATTAATTTAGACCCCGACTTTTTTATTACGAGTTGAAATAGTCTTCAGAAAGGACTATTTTAAGTCACATTGAAATAATATAGAGACTAGTTTGACACTTCTATAAATTCTAGGACTAAAATAGCCACTTTAAATAATCGGGGGACAAGTTTGGCACTTCCCTCCAATCAGAAAAAAACATGACACAATAGCACCAGACATGCTACTGCAGACTACAAGAAAATTAGCAGCCAAATGTTCTTGAAATTGGACAGAGTTTATGTTTAAAAGGATTACCAGTAATGCTCTCCGCACATCTTGGCAAAGAATTTACACTCTTATTTGAATAATTAAGGAAAATTTGCATATCGACTACAAGAAAATTAGAAGCTAAATGCTCTTGAAATTGGACAGTTTATGTTTAAAAGGATTACCAGTAATGCTCCCGCACATCTTGGCAAAGAATTTACACTCTTATTTGAATAATTAAGGAAAATTTGCATATCTCGCACCTAAACTTTTAAATTCACATGCATAGCACTTTTATGCTTTAAACCTATGCATGCAAAGATGTATATCACTTTTAAAATGTGATAATACTGCTGCTTTTTATATGTTATTAAAGATCTGAGTGCTATGTATGTAAATATGAAATTTTAGGTGTGAGAAATTTAAATACATAAGAAATGTGTGCTGTGTATGTATAAGTCCCAATAATTAAAGGTCTCAATTTATAGGATCTAAAAAGCCTGAAAACTGCTACATATCCTTACCAAAAATAGGAAAACAAAGTAGCCTCGCCCTTTTGTTATCTTGTACCCGCGAATATAAGTCCCAATAATTAAAGCTCTCAATTGATAGGATCTAAAAAGCCTGAAAACTGCTACGTATTCTTACCAAAAATAGGAAAACAAAGTAGCCTCGCCCTTTTGTTATCTTGTACCCGCGTGTTTCATACATTCTATTTTTATCAGGCAGTGCTTCACGTAGAATGCACAGTATTGATTCAAACTGGTTACGATTCACAGAATCTCCAACAAGCATCAACTTTTTACCTCTCAGTTTCTCCAAAAAGTCACTTGCATTAAACCTTCAAATCAGAAATGAGGTGAAATACCAATTTTCAGTTTCATGCGACAATTATAAGCTGGTTCCACTAAATTTTTGGGATTAGAAAATGATGACAATAAATAATGAAGAAGCCACAATCATAAAATTAAAAAATGTTAACAACAGATGAAGTGGCAGGCAAAGAAGAAACATAGATAATTTGGGAATAATGGAGTTTCAAGAAACTGAAAATACAGGTGCAATTTCATGACAAAACTTTGGCAATTATCCAAAACCAGAAGGTACAACAAATCCTGAAAATGACTAACCGAATAGTGCTCCATTATATCAGGGACTGCTGACAGAGACTAGTAAATTAATTATTAGATGCCACTCAAAGCAAAGGAGCTAGTAATATTGCTTCCATCAAGAAAAACTGACATTATATGAGCAGGAGGGAACCCAATATCTTGAGTATCAATAAGTACCGACATAAAAATGGTCAAAGATTGAAGAACACTAAACTTTGTGAATTGTGAGGACTATTAAACAAACAAAAAATTTGAGAATTTGAGCAAAAAATCATAGATTGATATGAAAATACCTTAAAATGTAATCACCTATTCACATTTATCTCATACTTAGAATATATTGCCCAACAACGGTTTGCTTGATTATGAGAAAAAAATCAAATACCCTAAAACCTAATATAAAGGCAAATATCAAAGTTTAAAATTACACAATTAGGAATTTAGATGATTTTTGTCTGCATGGCGAGACGTAAGCCTCGAGAGGTTTTAAGGCGTGAGCCTCAATATTAACAAATAGAGTAAAGCAAGAAGTATTAAAAGAAGTTCAAAGTAGCGAGAAGTAACAATATTAACATCATAACCTATTAACATATTAAAATGTAACATATTAACATACCGACATAGCAAAAGTAATAAATTGCTTGAAGTAAGAAGTAATATATTAACATCTAAACATCAAATTATATAATAAGAAAGGTTATATAAAGATTAAGTTATTACTCTCTTTCACTCCTATTGTCATCCATCAAATTAAAAATATAAGTCAAAAAGTTAAAATTTTTAAATTCAAAAGTTTCCATCATTTTAATCAATTAATGAACATTCATTAAAATCAGCAACATTATAATTTACTTTCTTCGTCACATCATTCTCACTAGTATCAATGTTCTCTTCATCTTCCTCTTATTTTATCAATATTAATTAATAAAAATGTTTAGTATATTTTAAACTAGTAACTATGTTTTAAATAAGAACTTCGATTATATTCTTAGTTTTGTATTATATGGGAGTAACAGATTGTTTATTAAGGTTATTTTACAATAACAACAACAGGTCTTTATCCCACTAAGTGGGATCGGGTACGTGAATCCTTTTTCTCCATTTTCTCCTATCGAGTGTCATATTTTTATTTAGTTCTAATAAATTAAGTTCATTTTTATACAACATGCCCAAATCTTTTAAGGTTTACCGTTAACATTCTTAACGTAAGTCAAATCCAAAACATCTAATCTCCTAACTCATTCATCCGATGGTTGAAGTTTAATTTGACTAAACCACTAATGCGACTCTCTCTAATATTGTCTGCCATTAAAGTTACTCCAACCCCTTCACGAATATATTTGTTTCACATTTTGTCTCTAAGTTTAAAGTCACTCATCCATCTGAGCATTCTCATCTCAACAACACTTAATTTTATTCTTCTCTTTTACAGGACAACATTTTGCGCCATAAAGCATTGCACCATAGACCCGAGATATTTAATATTCACTACTTTTAATAACTTGATCACTGATGGCTACAATCCCTCTATTAGATCCACTACTACTAAAAATATATTACTAAACAAAAGCTTTTAGACTCTAAGTTGACCTTCATAATTCGTGCTTTTTCATAACTCATTCTAGTCTTATCCACATGAAGGATATCATCAGCGAAATATATACACTAAGATACAACTCTTATAAATGTCTGATAAGAACAGTCATAACTAAAGCAAAAAGATATGTTACCCGAGATATTTAATATTCACTACTTTTAATAACTTGATCACTGATGGCTACAATCCCTCTATTAGATCCACTACTACTAAAAATATATTACTAAACAAAAGCTTTTAGACTCTAAGTTGACCTTCATAATTCGTGTTTTTTCATAACTCATTCTAGTCTTATCCACATGAAGGATATCATCAGCGAAATATATACACTAAGATACAACTCTTATAAATGTCTGATAAGACCATTCATAACTAAAGCAAAAAGATATGGTTTAAGTTCGATCCCTGATGTAACCCAACTGAAAAAGAAAAAACTTGGTCAATCTTCCTTGTGTTGAACACAAGTAAAAACTCTAGTATACATATCTTTAAGGACGTGAATATAAATACTACATTTTTTTTTTCTAGAACTCTCTAAAGTACTTCTCATGAAACCTTATCATAAGCTTTTCTAAATCATTAAAAATCATATGTAGATCCTTCTTACTCTCTTTATATTTTTCCATAAAATTTCTCAATAACTGTGTAGCTTACATAGTGAACTTGCCCCACATGAATCTAAACTAATTTTGAGAAAATTTTATATCACGTTGTAACTCATGTTTAATTATTTTCTCACATAAATTTAATATATGACACATTAACTTAATTTTACTATAACTTACAAAAACTTGTTCAATCCCTTTATTCTTAAACATAGGAATCAACATACTATTTCTCCATTCATGAGACATCTTTTTAATTTTAAAAATAATATTCAACAGCTTAGTAAGTCAAAAAATTCAAAAATCACCTAAGTATTTTCACATTTCTATTGAAATACTATCAAGATCTACTATTTTTTCATGTTTCATTTTTTTAGTCCTAACTTTCCTTGTACTAATGTGACGGTATAAATAAAAATTCTGTTATTATTTACAATATTAAAATCACTAAAATCGTTCGTATTTTCACAATCTTTACTGAAAATTTTATTAAAATATCTCACCGACCTATGTTAAATATTCTCATATAAGAAAAATACTTTTTTATTATCATTCTTAATATATTTTATTTAAACTAAATTTTTATCTTTTTTCTCTCTTTATTTATCTTTATCGGCTAGTTTTTACATATATTTTTCATCATCTTTAGTATATAATATATTATTAAGATCACTAAAAGCAGAGATTTTAGCATCACAAATTATTATTTTAGGCTCACTGCAGAGCATCATATATTTTTTTCAATTCTCCAAGCTTTTACATTTAAATATTTTTTTATAACAATAGTTTTTATTTTTTATCTATTCTTGCACCTTATTATTTCATCACCAACTATTTTTATTTATAAGAATTTTTCATTTTGATTCTCCAAGCACACCTTTTGTAATTTACTCAATAGTATTGTTTTTATTTTATCACATATAGTATTCGCTACTTCGTTAATATCCCAAATTATCTTGAAATTTACTTATAAAAATAATTTCATTTACTGTTAAGTGTCCTCATCAAACTTTATGAAAATATTCCAATGTATTTTTCATCTAAAACTTCAAAATCAATAATAGATGTTAACATATTTACAATATTGACAATCTATTATTCTCATACAAAAATAATCAAGTTTTGTTTTATAAGATTCATTCTGATAAGTGATAATATATCATCTTTTTTCTTAAAAAAATGTCAGCAATAATAAAATCATAAGCTAAAACAAAATTCAATATGATTCTATCTTCTTTATTAAATCTGCAGTTGCGCCAAACAGGCCCTAAGTAATCATAAATATTTATAAAAACTTTTACTACTCTATCAATATGTTCATTTAAATTTTCTCTAATAAAGTTTTTTTTCAAGAGGTGTATTTTATATTAATTCTTCTAAGTCATTTCAAAATTTTTCTTTCGAACATATATTTAAACCTACTTGAGCACCATAAACACTTATAATATTAAGAATCTTAATATCAACAACAATCATTAGAATTATAATTTTATCTCCAATTCTATTAATTTTTAAACATTATCATTTGAACTTTTATTTATAATTACACCTACAACTAGTACAACTTCTACCTGAATACTAAAGATTAAAACTTAAGTTATCAATTATCTAAAGACTTTTCTCTTACTCATTTAATTTTTTTAATAGATAAAATATTTATCTTTTTATGAACTATAATATGTGCTAATTCAATTAATTTATATGTGTGAGTATCTATATTCTAAATTCATATCGTAATATTAGTTTTGTTAACTAACTTTTTTGCCTTCTTACGTCCATAATATGAGGAGCATATATATTTATAACAATAATAATCTTAATATCAATAACAATTTTTAAAATTATAATTTTATCTCCAATTCTATTAATTTTTAAATATTATCTTTCAAACTTTTATTTATAATTAAATCTACATCATTTCTAATGCGACTCCTAGCTGAATAATAAAATTTAAATCAATCTCCTTGACTTTTCTTCAACTCATTTAGTTTCTTGAATGCACAAGATAATTATCTTCATATGATACATAATATCTACTAATTCAATTAATTTAAATGACAGTACCTTCCAAATTCTTATCCTAATATTAGTTTCATGGACTAACAATTTAGCCCGCATCCGTTCATAATATGATAATTCATATTTAACACTATATACAGATGTCGGTGCAATGACCCTCGCACACATTTAATTGTAATAAAGTCATATAGCACGAAGCTTCCAAGTGACCCTAGCATTGACTCAATGATTTAAAGGATTCAAGTCATAATTTTCCAACATAAATTTACGCTCACTATCGACTACCAAATGCAACCATCCACTTTTAGCATCCAAGACTTGAGACCTAACAATGGCAGCATTATATTTATTTTACCTTTATTTATTTTAAGAAAATATCTAGATCTAATTGTGTGCACTTTATCAAAAATGAGGTGAGGGCGGGCCTCATTTATGGGAGACAAACCTCACGTGGTACCCAAAGAGGGGTAAATATCAATACAACTTTTTTAAAAAGATGTTGAGGCGG